TAGACCAGGCTGGCCTTGAACTCAGAGAGATCTACCTGCCTCTGCCTCCCAAGTGCTGGGATTAAAGGTATGTGCCATCATACCTGGCCTATCACCTTATTTTTAAAATATATTTTATTTAGTTTTCAATTTTTTTTATGTGTATGAGTGTATTGACTACACGTACGTAAGTACACCCCTGTCATACAATGCCTGCAGAAGTCAGAAGAGGTTGTCAGATCCCTTAGAACTGGAGTTATGGATGGTTGTTAGCCACCATGTGGGTGCTGGGAATCAAACCTGGGTGCCGTGCAAGAGAAGCCAGTGTTTTTAACCACTGAGCCATCTCTCAAGCCCCCCACCCCACCTTATTTTTTGAGATAGGGTCACTCACTGAGCCTGAAGCTCTCTGACTCAGCTAGACTGGCAAGCCCTGGGGATCCACCTGTCTCTATCCCACCAGTACTGGAGTTCCAGATGTGTGTCATTATACTCAGCTTCCTATGGGGGTGCTGGGGATTGAACTCAGTTCTTATGCTTAAGTAGCAAGCACTTTACTGACTGAGCCATCACTCCAGACCTCTAATAGCTTTTTAAGATGGCTCTCAATTGGAGTGCTTGTTCCTGGCTCCTCTTTGGTCCTTATCCAGAACACAGTGCTGCCAGTTTTCTGGGTCTTTGGGAAGTTCTGCTTTGCAAGCCAGAACTGTGCAGCTCTCAGTCTTAGCCTGGAAGCCAGGTCCGCCAAGCATATTAGCTGCTTTTACCCACCTACCCCTGCATCAGAGGCCATCTTCTTTCTCTTCCCTCTGAGCAAGCATATTTACAGGTTTTTAGTGGAGTTTGAGATTTGAGGGAATTGAATTTGATTTTTAAAATCTGTCTTCCTTAATTGGAATTTTGAATTGAATTTCCATTTTTTTCATTAGGAAGGAATTATGAAGTGTTTGATTTTCATGTATAGAAGCCTTATTTGCATGCACCCCCTCATATCACTTTGTTATTACTTTCATTTTGATTTTTTGCTATTATATTGAATATATGTCTTTATGATTTCATTTTTGAGACGGGGGCCTCCCTGAAGCCCCAGCTGACCTGGAACTCACTATATAGATCAGATTGGACTCCAGCTCATAGAGTTTCACTTGCTTCTGCCTCCCAAGAGTTGGGATTAAAGGTGTGTGCTACCATGCCTCGCTGATATGATTTTATAAAAATATTTATTATTTTAAGTGTATGAATGTATTGCCTGCATGTATGTAAGTGCACCTGTATCATGCAGCACCCGTGGAGGTCAGAAGGGGTCATTGGATTTCCCCTGGAACTGGAGTTATGAACAGTTGTTAGCTGCCATGTGGGTGCTGGGAATCGAACCTGGGTGCTTTGCAAGAGAAGCCAGTGCTCTTAACTAGTGACTCATCTCTCCAGCCCTGATTTTATTTTTTAAAGGACATTTTTGCTTTAGAAAAAACAAAAAACAGGAGCAGGATAGAAGTGTAGTTCAGTGGCAGAGAAGATGCCTAGTATGTATAAAGCCCTGGGTTCCACTGCAGAAGGGGAGAGAGGAAGGGAGGGAGGGAGGGAGAGAGAGAGATAAAGAGAGAGAGATCGGTCTATTTCTTTGTCTATTCTTCAAAGCTCTGCCATTAAGATCATGAATCCCAAGGCCACTCTGTCTTCTTGGCAGGTGGCTCTGAGTTGTTATGGGCTCTGTCTTTGATTCCTTGGGTTATTCCCACCTTGGAGTCTATTTTTGATGCTGTTCAATATGCTTTCTTTTTGCTCTTAGTTATTGGTCTATCCTTTTTTTTCATTTTTCACTTTATTCTTATTTTTTTGGCCCAATCTACCTTAACTTTCTATCTTTTACAAGACATTAATCTAGTCATATTTACTACAATGGCTGAAATATCTGGGTCTGTTCTTCTGGTCTTGTGGCTTATTTCCTGTCCATCTTTCTCTATTGTTTTTCCTTCTCCCTGCTTTCTCCCCCTTGGGCTGGCAGCCTTTAATTTGTTATGTCTTTTTCTGTCTTATATTTTTCAGGCTATACTTTCCATTTGCATTCTGTGTCATTGCTTGTCAAAGCCAAGAAACCCACAAAGGCTGAGATAACTAAAGTGAATTCCCAAGCAGTGGAAACAGATCAGGCTGACCACCAAGAATGTGGAGGATACTTCACACATTAAGAAAATATTTTGAACAGAATCAGAACCACTAAGGTAAAAAAAAAATCCTAGCATCCTTCACTTGTGAAACTGCAGGGTCTGTCTGCTAGGAAACCTCTGGGATACGTTCTGGAAAGCTGGAGAGATGAAGGCAAGCATCAGGCTCTCGAAGTCTTTTTGGTCTGAGTTTGTGCAAACCACTTGTCTCATCTCTGTGCTCTGTCTGCCCTGGCACTCCCGGCCTGAAAAGGTTAGAGGAGAAGAGACAAAGGCTTTGGAGACAGAGCAAGAACGCGGGCTGAGACTGATGCTTATCTTGACTTCTGAGCTCTGGGCAACATCACAGGCGACTGGACATCCCCCTTCCTGACAATTACATCAGCTGGTGCAGGCAGTCTGCAGGGAGAGAGCTGACTGTCGAGCCATGCTGTCACTGTGAACAGTGAGCAGGGCATATTTTTCCAGGAACCAGATATTGAGAATTAGTCTATTACATGGATCTCATGCAATTAAATAGATATTTGTGGGAGCAATTGTGACAGCAGCTTGAGATCACACTGTCAAAGCTAAACGTCAAATTGGATCAATAGAGGCTGTGAGTTTGGGAACCTGTGCAACAGGACTACTGCAGGAGTCAGAGTTTGTTAGGGAAGGGTAGTTAGGAGTAGTATAACGTCCCATTCCCCTGAGAGTGCCAGGCAGACCTAGAGGGTCAAAAGAGGAGCCTTGGGTAGGGGCTGGTGTCTGTGAGGGAACCCTGGCTCCTTTCATGGACACACCATTCTCCCTGGAGGTGAAGAACCCAGGCTGGCCTGGGTTGGGTCTGAGGGCCACTGTTGCATCCAGGCTGGTGACTAGGGATATGGTTGCCTCCTTTGGTGTGCTAGGATTGACCCTTGGTCATGGAACTATTACACAATTTAATTTTTGGAGAGCATCCCTGTCACATAGTTAATATTGTCTCATTTTGCAAATAAAACCTAAAGTCGAAAAAAAGTTATTGCCCCAAGTCATGCAGCTAGCAAACTAGATGGAATTCAGATCCTGTTTAGAGCTGCTGGACCCCAGAGTTCCTGTCTGCCCCACTGAACTGCTCTGCTCTGAGCATTGTTCTCCTTCCTTATAAAACCAAGGAATTGAAGGAGATCAAGCTTTCCTAATCTTTAGATCTACCTTAATTGTACTCCTAATTATAGTTTAGGTTCATTTTCATGAGTTTTGTACTATCTAGTTTTCATTTGTATTGTTATTTATGTGGATGCTTTTCTTAATTGAGTCTATTTATGTTTACTTTAAAGTTTACATGACATAAAGTTCACCATAGTAACTATTTCTGAGTATATAGTTCAGTTACATTAAACTCATTCACATTATCAGGCAACATTATTCTGTGTTGAATGCATATATATATATTTTGGAAAGGCAGCCTTAGTATCACTGTCATGAATAGAATCAAGATCATAAACAGAGGTAGCCAATGGAATAAATGTGGCAGAGGCACGAAGTCATTAACTTGTGGCTGATTCTTCTCACCACTGCAGGTTGTGAGATGAGGCCTGCCACCCCACCCTAAATTTCTCTTAAAGGATGGACAACAAATGTTGGGAAGGTGGTAATGAGACATGCCTACCAAAGTGACACTCCATCCTTGACATACTCAGAAAACAACACAGGAGCAGTTTCCTTGCTTTGAACCTGACATTCTTGTGTGCTACACCTGGGTACCCATTCACATCTTGCTCACCATGGAACACTTTTATCTTCCCCTGCACTGCAGAAACCATTGAGATGTACAGTCTTCTGTCCATCAAGGCTCTATGACTCAACCCTGAACAAGAGGATCTGATGGTCCTTTCCAACTTGGAGCACTGGTAGGGAGCATCATTTGGGATGTGCCCTATATCATCCCTTACGTAACCCCCCCACCTAAGATATAGCACTATCTGCAGGGGGTCAGTTCTAGAATCCCCTATGAATACAAAATCTGTGGATGTTCAAGGCCTTTGTATAAAATGATCCGTTATTCACGTGCAACCTATACATACCCTCTCACACACTTTAAATCAACCCAGATTGCTTGTAATATCTGAGGCAATCTAAATGCTAACTAAATGGCTATTATGTAGTATTGTCTACAGGATAATGGCAAGAAAAGAAAATCTATCCATGTTCAGTATAGAAACTATGACACAATATTTCTTATCCATAGCAGTTGAAGGCATGGGCACAGAGGGCTTGGATACAGAGGTCTGACTATATTCCTGGCAAGGATTACGTCGCCTGAATCCTGCATGCCCAGCCTGCTGTCTTAGAAGGCACCTAGAAGGCAGAATGCTTTGTCACGGTGTTCGCGTGGTCCAGCTGGGATGTGGTGATGTGTGGCACATGAAGCTACTACTTGCTCTGAGTGAGTGAATTCAGTCCTATCTGGGTAGAAAGGGAGGCATTTTAAGCACCCTAATGGTGGAGTGGAATGGGAATCTCCACTGGTGAAGGGAAAACCGTCAAACATGGGGGCTTCACAACGAGCCAGAATACAGTGTTAGATTTTCCTGGAAGCCACTTGCCTGGATGATGGGAATGAAGTGTGCATACACGTGTCCTTGTGGGAAGTGCCAACCAAGGAGCTAGGGGGTGCTGTTTCCTAAGCTGTGGAGGATGTCCTCTACAAAATTAAAGGAAGTTGTGGGCAAACTTCAGGAGATCAAGTTGTGCCATGGGAACATAGAGGTAAGACCCACACTTGGGTGCTGGGAGCAGAGGTCTTCAAGCCTTACCTCCTCTCCCGGACTTAATTTACTTTCCCTTGTAGCCCCAGCACAACACCCATGGGACACAAGACACACGTCTCACCTGAGGCTTGCTCTCATCTTTGTCCTTGTAGTAGAAGAGCTGATCCCCGCGCAGCACGAACCAGCGTTGCTGCCAGTTCTTCATGATGCTCCTCTGCTTCCTCAGCCAGCCGGCCTTGAGCACTGGGCCCAGTCGTCGGGGGCCTGGGGGCCGCCCAGGGCTCCGGCTCTGTTCCCCCATCACCATGCTCTTTGAGCGAGCTGGAAGCCAAGAACACACAGTGAGTGTGGACCCAGCTACTCTGGGGCCAAGGCACAGGGGCACAGGCCCGAAGGACAAGTATGTTGGGCTTACTTCCCTCCTCAGGCTCCCAGGGTATCGGCTGGGCAGCCTCAGAAGCAGCAGCCCAGGGTCATGTTTCTGGGAGGTATATAAATAAGCTTGCTGTCATTGGTTTCTGCTCTGTCTCTGGGATCCTAGGTTCTCAGTTTCTCCAGGTTTATTCATCTGTACATCCATCCAGGCATCCATACATCCAATTACCCATCCATCCACCCATCTGTTGTCTGTTTCCTCCTAATTAAAATATCTTCTCCAGGAGAGAAGGGGAAGTTCCTAAGACTCAGGGGGTAAACAGAAGGTCACATGTCTGGGAAAGTAGAATCTTGGAAGTTTCTCAAAGGCCTCCCCTGAACTTAAATATTTTATTTTTTACTTTTATTTATGTGTATGAGTGTATTGCCTGTATGTATGTAAGTGCACCCGTGTTATGAAATGCCCACCATGGTCAGAAGAGGGCAGCCGGTGCTCTTAATTGCTGAACCATCTCTCCAGACCGATCCTGAACTTTATAAAAGAGAAAATTGCTGGATGAGAGGCTCTGACAAGCCCTTTTGCAGAGAGAATCTCAGACTTAGCAGCCACCTGCAAGCTGTGCAGTAAGCTCCAGAGTTACAGCTTTCCCGAGTCACCACCTGGGTTGGGGTGGGCTTTTCGGTGATGCATCTGGTTTTTTCTGATCCTGTAAATAACCTCTCACCCATAGTCCTGTTACTAACCCCAATAAAAACCCATTCACTCACCACATTGGACATTGGTGCAATCGTTACTTTGGTCTGTTGTGGGTTTCCTACCTGGGGTAAATAAACATGTATGTTCTGCCTCATCAGGAAGCCTGTCACACAATTCCATCTACCTATCCACTCAGCAATTCATTCATTTTTTCACTCAGTTACTATTTACTATGTGCTAGGATCTGTCCTAGTTATGTTCGCCCCCATCAGGAAGCCGGTCCCCCAATTCCCTCTTCCTATCCCCCCAGCAATTCATTCATTTTTTCACTCAGTTACTATTTTCTATTTGCTAGGATCTGTCCTAGTTTTTTTTTTTTTCTTTTTTCGTCTTTTTGAGACAGGGTCTCCCTGTAGCCCCAGCTGTCCTGGAACTCACTATGTAGACCAGGCTGGCCTTGAACTCAC